CAGAGGGCAAGCAGTGTGTGGCATGGAATTTTCAAGCAAATGTGTGCATGGCCACTCTCCCAATCATGTAATGGATTCAAGGGAGTGTGGCCCTCGGCCCTCGGGCCATTAATTGCGCATTTCGATGCATGATGGCCTAAGAGGCCTAGTTTGCCATTTAACGTAAATGCATGCAAACAAAACAAAGGAGTGCTAATCCCCTATCATGTTGAGGTCAAGGGTATTGGCGATCGAGGATTGAGACGTGTTTCGTCACTCCAAGTACGAACACTCCTCAATCCTCATGCTTGGTTTGACACCCCAAACCAAGCAAAAATGTAATGTACGGAGGCAATATACAACGCAGAGTGATGCAACTCATGCAAGGCAATATGAACAGGCTAAGCTAATGCAACATGACACTATCTAACCATGCAAGCTAGACTGATGCAATATGGACATATCAAGCATACAACAAGATTATGTAATGCCATTAGCTAACAACATGTAATCATGCGAAAATGATACAATGTAAGCATGCAATCAATATAATGCAACATACAAGCATGCAAAGTATGCAAAGATCGACTTATACTGAAATGAGAGGACCTCAGTCCATCCCAAAACAGTGGCCTAAGTGATGGGTGAAGGCAACAAAATGCAAAGCATTGAAGCATGCTAATTGGTCCATTACCTAGTCCACAATGTCCAACCTTCAAACATGAGTGAGAGTTGGTAAGCATGAGAATATGGCATTATAATAGGCTCTGAAATCGCATGAAGAATGATGCCAAATCCAACGAAATATGCAAGCAAGGCATGCAATAGGGCCCAAATCTTGAAGCTAGCAAAGGGGTCCAAGTCATAACTATGCCAACCAAACCCCACCAGACCAAAATGGCTTAAAACAGTCCCTTAGCATTCCAAAACAAGACTAAAGTATGCATAGATCATGGTCAAATCATGCTAAAGAATGGATGCAAAACAAAGGTGGATTCAAGACCAACAAGAGGGCATTGTACCACAACCACCTCAACCACTCATGGCATGGGCTATACAATCAAAAACAGAGTTTTAATATGCAAAATAAGCCCCCAAAACCCATTGATATGGCAGCCTAAAACCTTAAACCAAGAGGCATGCATTTAGGCTTATTTCAAGGCATAAAAGAACAACACTTCAAGGCATGAAAGGGATAATGAATGCAGGCATACAAGCATGGATTAGGGGCTGAAATGACATGAGAAATGACTCTAAATCATTGAAACAACCCAACTAAAGCATGCTAATGACTCACACACTTCAAGGCTCACAAGCCAAAATACAAAGGGGCTATACCAAACATGGTAAATATGATCAAATAAACTCCCAACAGACCTTAAGCATGGTAAGACATGGCTAAGAACTTCACAAAGTTAAGCCAAAATATGAGTGCATAGTAGGCTAAATGCATGATGCACTTCTAGGCAAAACGCGGGAATACAAAGCAAGTATATCATGCATGCAAGGGACCTTTAATCCGACCAAAAATAGAGTTAAGATATGCCCAAATAACACCCAAAAACTTCTGAAATGGAGTCAAGAAATCACCCTTTTAGGCCCTCAAACACACACAAATGAAGAGAGAGGGAGAGATATAGAGAGAGAAGGTGTATGTATCGGAATATATATGTTCTAGGTCTGATTTTTGCTGAACCAACCAAAGGAGGAAGAGGGGACTCTTATATAGACAATGGAAAAGGCTAAGCTTCCAAGGGAAGCTAACAAAGGGGTCAAGGCTTCCTAAAGAAGCCAAGACAAAGGGGCCAAGGCTTCCTTAGGAAGCTGGGACAGGTGTCCAAGCTTCTTGAGGAAGCTAAGACAAAGGTCCAAGCTTCCTCAAGAAGCTAGACCAAAAGGGTGCAAAAGGGGCAAAACAGCCACAGATGTGCATGGGGGCAGGGTTTGTGCATTCCAGCTGGCACAGCTGGCATGCACCATGCCTGAAAAAGGCAAAAAGGTGGTACCGGCCAGAAAAGGAGGCCATCGGCCAAACAGGTGGTCAGCCAGCCACACAAAATGCCGACCGGCCAATGTACTATTTCACCAATGGCCGGTAGCCTCAAAACACGGCCGGTGCCCTCAAGCCATGGCCGGTGGGTATCAGGGGTAGCTAGCATGCTACTTTCTACCCTCAGGTGCAAAAACAAACAAGTCTTTGGTGTAAAATCAAGCACAGAACAAGCAAGTCGAGAGATCCTGAGGTAAGGCGCGTAGCCAAGACTTCCGGGAACTCAAAACAAACATGAACATGGATGATCACCGAGTGTTCAAGCGGTGACGTCCAAGTCTCGAAGACGGTCAAAAATAGGGTGTCTACAGTTGGCAAAGGAAACAATTCTTTGGTAGGAGCTGCTTTGAAATATAGTTCTTCAGCTAATAACTAATTAACCACAGAATCAACAAAAAGGATAGGACTCCGATGCAGAATAGTACCGCGAAGCTCCTCAAAATTAACCCGAAGGGCCATCAAGAATTGAACTAGCTGCTACTCCTTTCAATAAGTACAATATGCTGCATGAGTGCTCAATGACTTAGGCTTAGTAAAAGCTAATTGATCCCACAAACCTGTCATGACATAATAAAATTCTTGGATGCTCTTATCACCTTGTTGAGTAGCACGAATCTCATGTTCTAATTGATAACGTTTAGCAAATTTGGATTGAACATACAATCGAGAGAAATGTTCCCAAATTTGCTTTGCAATAGTGAACTTAGAAAAATGAACCCTAATAGGCTGATCTATAGAATTATTAATCCAAGTAATAATCTTGGCATTAGTAACCCGCTAAGTAGAGAGCAATTCTTGAAACTTTTCAACATTGTCATCAGTGGGCAAAAGAGAATCACGAGTAACATCATCCTAAACATTTTACCCAAAAGAAAATTCTTCATGACATAAGCCCAATAAACATAATTATCCCCCCCTAACTTCACACTAATGGCTTGAAGTGAATTTGACATTCCACTAGACATGATATCAAGAATATAAATAATGAAGAACTTCACAAAGCAAATCTAAAGTCCAGCAACAGCCCCAACAGTTTGCAATTACCAAAGCAAGATATAAGGCCACAGAGAAGTCACAAGAGACAACAACACAAAGAAAAAGGGAAGCTGAAGCAGAGTACCCAAGTCGTATGGGGACAGGGTTGCAATATAAGTCACAACTGGAAGAACCAAACGCGACTGTAAGATAAGAAGGAGAGTCGTGACTTTCTTTCTCAATGTTCCATGATGATGAGGTTGATTCTTGAGGAATTATTTCAGTCGAATGGTTCAGAGAGTGAACCACGAACAATGGTCTGCGACAAAGAGAGAGAGAGAGAGAGAGAGAGAGAGAGAGAGAGAGACTATTGTGAGACGAGAGATAGGGCACCAACGAAAGACCACTGCGAGACGAAAGAGGGCACGAACAAGGCTACTCGAGATGACGTGTGTCAAAAACTAAGTCAGCCGTTTGTATGGCTTTGATACCATGAAAACTTAGTTAGAACTAAGTATTGCATTATTTTATTGAATCAAAAAAGGAATTACAAGAGAATATATATAAGTCAACTATTCTAACCCTAATTGCTAACAATGACTAAACTACTCTTAATAATAAAATACACATATGCTTAACATTAGGAAGTATTGGAAACATCTCCAAGACACCCAATTTGGGAACTAGTTAAAAAAAGGCTATTGGAGGGCCAAATAGTTGAACAACTATAGAAGTGCCAAAAACCAAAAAAAACCAACTTAGGAGGGACCATTATAATTGGTAGGAACTTACGGCACATACACGAGATGCACTGTTTGTGTATTAGACAAAAAAATAATTTTTTTCATACTTAAACTTTGAAAAGGGCTGCTGATGAGCGAAATTATCACATAACAACGAATGTGCATGGGGATCAACACAAACACATTACAAGGGACCAATATAACTTGTAAGAAGTTACCACACATGAATGAGATGTACCATTTGTGAATTTGCCTAAAAAACACTTTTTTTTCCCCATAATATTGGAAAAAGTCCGTTGGAGGAGTATATTATCAAACAACCACGAATGTGCATGAGAACTGACACAAAAACCTTAGAAAGGACCAATTGAATTTGTAGGAACTCATGGTACTATGTGCCATTTGTGGAATGCTTTTTTCCTATACTTGGGCTTGAAAAATGGCCAATGAAGGGAAAATTTTTCAAATAGTCATGAATGTGCATCAAAACTAGCACAATCACCACAAAAGTGACCAACATAACTTGTAAAAATTTACAGAATATGCCCGGGATGCATCCTTTGTGAATTAGATTAGAAAATCAATTTTTAAATAATTAGGCTTGAAAGAAGGGCCATCGGAGGACAAATTGTCAAACAACCACAAAAGTTTCCATGATTTGGCTCAAACACCTCGAGAAGGACCAATGTTACTTGTAGGAACTTACGACACATGCACAAGATGCACTGTTTGTGTATTAGATACAATTTTTTTTTCATACTTACAATTAAAAAAAGCCCGTCAAATTGCTAAATTGTTAAACAGTCACAAATGTGCCCAAGAACAGATACAAACACATTGGGAGGGACCAATATAAGTTGTAGAAACTTACGACATGTGCACGGGATGCATAAATTGTCAATTAGCCAAAAAAATGCTTTTTCCTCCACACTTAAAGCTTCAAAAAATGCTGGCGAAAGGTTAAATTATCACACATCCACGGATTTGTACAGGAACCAACAAAACCACCTTGGGAGGGACCAATATAAGTTGTATGATATGAATTTACGATACATTAATGGGATACACCATTTGTGAATTAGCCTTAAAATTAATATAAGTTGTATGATTTTTTTGCTCCCATAATCTTGAAAAAAGTCCATTAGAGAGATATATTATATAATTGATCTAATTGTGAATTGATTAGTTACTAATGTTTTTAATTTTTTGTATAATTAATTAGTTACTAAAGATTTTAATTAATTTTTTTACAGATTGGATTGGGGTGGCATTTTTGACTTGTAACAATGATCTAATTTGCTTTAATGTTCATTTTGTTTGATAAGGATACACATACTTTGTAAAGTTGCACTGGTTATTGTTGGATGTTCTGTGGAATTGCACTAGTTATAATTGTTGGATATTTTGTGGATATTGCACTATTTTATTATATTAGGATGAAATTATTTGTAATGAATGAATATTTTTATTTTGTTAACTCATAAGTGTGTTGATTTATAGCAGGTTGAGTTAAATTGTGACGAAATTGTTATATTAAACAGTTTTCAAAATGAACCGAATTATATTTGCTGAACTAAAATTCAGATTTTGATACAATAGGTATATAGTGTGAAAAAAAAAATATGGAATTAGTGACAAAAATTTTCATCTCTAAAGAAGGTTTTTTGTCCGTTATTTGGCTTAGGTGGATGACTAATTTTGTCATGAATTCTTTGTTTCATCACTAAATGAATATATCATGACAAAAAAATATTATTACATTTTGTCACTATGACCCTCCATGCGTAACAAATTTTTTTTGATATTATTTCATCTTTTTTAATGATGAATTTATTTGTCTCTATTGGTAGCTTCTTTGACATTTTTTTTTTGTCTTTGTTATATTAAATGCGACAAAATTATTTTGTCTCTATTTCTTATATTTATGAAAAAATAGTTGTCTCTAATTTCTTCCTTTAAGGACAAAATATTTTGTCACTAATTACTTATAAGTATGTTTGCAACAATGTGTATTGGAGACAAAAACTCGTCACAAATTTATCATTTTCAATGCCGAATTTATTTTTTCATCTCCAAGACCTTTTAGGGACTACGTTTTGGCGACAAAACGGGTGACGGAAATTTTTCGTCGTAATTAGTTTGGGTGAGGAAATGTGTACATTTTGGTACAAATTTGTTTCGTCTTTAAATCCTAAATTTGTTGTAGTGACATGTGCAACATAAAGTAATTTTTGTTGGTATAAGGATGTCTTTACATCTAGAGTCATGGTCCGAGATGATTGTACTAAATCATTTTGGAAAGAAAAATTTATTAATGACTTACCCAATCCTTTTGTTCATAAAATCAAAGATGTCTTTAGTCAACTTACAAGAATAATTGAATATAATAATTTAACATATAGTGATATAATTAGTACAATTCAAAAAGGATTAAAAATGTGTGTAGATATGAAACTTATAGTCAAAAAGCTATTAAAGATAAACACAAAGCTAAGTATGAGTTGGGTAACTTCTGCGAACAACACGGTCTACTTCATGTAGTACTATCGCGTTGAAAACATCATAAAAACAAGAAATCCAAATTTCCATATAAATATAATAATAAGAAATATTCACCTACTAAATCACCTAATAATTATTATGATAAACCCAAAAAGAAATATTATAAAAAAAATAAGAACTTTAATCAAAAGTCAAAATCAACTCAAAATATTACCGAGTAATGCTAGGGGCCCCAAATAATCTATCAAATGTTTTACCAAACCTCTCACATGGGTATGGGACCCACACACATGTGGGTTTGTGTGGGTCTCATACCCATGTGAAAGATTTGGTAAAAAAAATTGATAGATTATTTGGGATTCTATAGCGATCCTGGTTTTTCCTCTCTTTATTTATTGTATTCCAGACTCGGTTCCGTGGATGTGTTGTTGTCTCATTCTCATTTTCATCATTTACTCTTTGTATTTGAGTCTTGGGTTGTGTTGGGCAGGTTTGAAACAGGTTGGTTGTGCTTTGAAACCAAAGGTTGATGCTCAGAATTTGGCCTTCATGCTCGAGCGGGGCTTTTGATGCTCGAGCGGGCCCTTTATTGTTACTTCTCCGCTCGAGCGGGCTTTTTGACGCTCGAGCGTGAATTTTCATCTCCCAGTATTTTTCTCTGCAGGTCTTCGTACGCTCGAGCTGGAGTTTTGACGCTCGAGCGTGAACCTTTGATTTTGTCCCTCCGCTCGAGCGGGGACCATCGCCTGCAAACTTCTGGAAGTGTGCAATCGATGCTCGAGCGGCGCTTTTGACGCTCGAGCGTGAGTCTGTGTCTGACGCTCGAGTGGGGGTTTCTACGCTCGAGCAGGGCAACTTTTATATCAGTTCGAGTTTCACCTTTTTAGATCACTTTTTGATTTCCTTTCTCTCTCTTACTTTTCCAAAACCTCCATTAGAGAGCTTCTCTCTCTAGAAACCCAACTTCTTTCTAGGTATTGATCTAGTTTGAGTGATCTCCCTCCATAGTCCTTTTGTAAAACGTGTTGTGCTTGGTGAGGACTTCCTATCAATTCAAAAATAGTGGAGTTTGGAGCATTTCAAATTTCTTCATCTTCTTCCTTTGAGTTCAGAATTTGAGGTAGGGATAACTACTCATTCTTATGTGCTTTAACATAAATGTTGAGCTATTTGTATAGATGGTTTGATTTGGGAAGTTAGGGTTTGAGGTGTGTTATATTGAAAAGAGGGATTTTGTCTTTTTGACTCATATATGTATATTTTGGGTCTTAAAAAGGGATTATTGATGTTGTTGATAATATTTGAGCCTTTGGGTCAATATTGAGAAAAAGGAAAAAAATGCCATGATTGGTTATATTTGGGTCATTAGTGTAATTAATGACATTTATTATGGAAGTATGAAATTGAGTTGGAAATAATGTAATTGGCTCATTATGTGATAGAATGGTGGAGTTGAATTCATTAATCACTCACCTTTGAAATGTTGATAAATTATCTGTTGACATAATTATTATCTGTTTAGAAATAATTGCTTTAGGCTATCGGTGGAGGATAGTCTTGATTGTTGTAGACATTGCATGACGACTAGGCGAATTAAAACTAATCGGTTGAATGTCATTGAATATGATGAATGGAATAATACATCAAATTTATGTATTGATTGATTGTGTATATGATATGTGTTTATATACATTGTGTTGTGTAGGAGGAGATAGGAGATGTACTCCACGGTTTAGGAGAAGATAGGGGATGGACTCCTAAACCGAATATTGTTTGGGAGGAGATAGGGGATGTACTCCATTGATACAGCAAATATGTGTATCTATTGAAACATTGATACAGCAAATATGTGTATCTATTGTGAAGTATGGGAGTGTTAACGTGTTATTGATACAGCAAATATGTGTATTTATTGTGAAGTATGGAAGTGTTTTAATGTGTTATTGATACAGAAAATATGTATATCTATTGTGAAGTATGGAAGTATTGTTGATATGAGTTGTTATCTCATTAAAATTGTTAGTAACGGAAGTACGGTTGATATGAGATATAATCTCATTTAAATTGTTTGGCCAGGTTCTGAGCCATAGTTATGAATTGAGAATTGGATAAAAAATGGAAAATGGAATGAAACATGGACACATATGTCATGTAATTGAAATGGGTTATGCATTGATTTGTGTGAGTTCAACATTTATCAAATGCTAATGTTTTAGTTATCGCTCATGTTATGTTTAGCATATCTCTACTGGGCGTTGGTTCACCCTATATGGGACATCATTTTCAGGTTCAGGTATTATGCCGCCTCCGAGATCTTAGCTTGGATGGCTGTGGGAGTTGAAGACTCTTTTGTTTATTTTTGTTGTATTACATGTACATCAAGCCAATGGCTTATTTTATGTAGAGTTAGTACTCTTCTTTTGTAACCAAGTGTTGACTTAGAAAGTTGTAAGCCCATAGGGCATTTACTTTTGTTGTCAACATGTAATATATTTGTAAGAAATACTCTGATGAAATGAAATTATGCTTTACTCTATTATGTCTAAGCATGTCAATACTGTATGATTTATGGGTTTATTTTGAGGGCGTTACAGATTCACAGCATTTTCCAATATTACCTGCTATAATTGTGGTAAAAAGGGTCATTATTCTAATAAACGTAAAGTTAAATTTTTTTTTGGATCAATTACAGATTACTAAAGAAAATCAAAGTGAAATATTTGAAATATTCAAGTAAGCTAATACTAGGGATGAATCTAGTAACCCATCTAGCAATAATAACACATCTTGTGATACCTCTGACTATTATTCTCCTAGTAATGATACTGATAATGACCAAATAGAATTAGGGTAATGACACCTATTGTAAACAAATTAATGTCCTCAGTAAATCACAACAAGAAGAACATTCATTAATTGAATTAATTAGTAAGTTGGACAATCCAGAATTAAAAAGATAATATACTAATAAATTAAAATCTTTATTAATTAACAAAGAAAGTAAACCTTCTACAAATAAACCAATTATTAGTCTAACGACTACTTTAGAAAGATTAAGAAAAGATAAGCATAAAGAAATAACTCTACACAATTTATAAAATGAAATTAATCAAATTAAATTAATTATTAAAGAATTAAAAATTAAAGATAAATCTTTAGAAAACGAAATTGCTATATTAAAAATCAATAAAAATCTTAATGATTTTGAAAGTAAAGCTGATACATCCTTCGATGAATCTAGTAATACTCCAAATCATGTAATTTTTGATAATCGTTCCAATAAATCTAATAGTGAAGCAAATAATTAAGAAAATAACCAATTATACATAATTAATAAAATAAATATCTAGAAATGGCATTCAAAAATAAAACTAGTAATAAATGATTATGAAATGGAAGTCATGACCTTAATTGATACAGGCGCTGATCTTAATTGTATTCAAGGTGGCTTAATATCTACCAAATACTATTATAAAGCAAGCGAACAATTAAGCTCAGCTAATGGCAGTCAAATGCATATTAAATATAAATTATCTAAAGTTTATGTTTGTCAAAACAATATTTGTTTTAAAATATCATTTGTTTTAGTACAAAATATGACTGATAAAGTCATTTTAGGTGTCTCGTTTATTTATTTATTATATCCATTCACTACTAATAATCATAGTATTACAACCCAAGCCTTTGGTCAAAAAGTAATTTTCAAATTGTTAACTCCTCCAGAAATAAAAGAATCAAACCAGTTAAAAGGTTACTCACTTTCTCAATCAATCAATATATTAAACTAAAAAACTAAACAATTACAATTTCTCAAAAAAGAAGTCAAATATAAAATAATTGAATCTCAATTAACTAATCCCATTCTTTTTGAAAAAATTTAAAAATTTAAAAATCATTTAGAGAAAACTA